GTATGGGAAACGGCATTGTGCTGTGGCGAAAATATGAATATTTAATTAATTAATTTCTTTAAATCTGGCTAAGTTTCTATTGTTATTTTTTCTTAAAATGTTTATTTTAAATATGTGAGGAACGATTTTAGAAATATGTTATTTTATTGTATAAATACATACTGCGTTTCTTGGAACATACTCTACGATCTCTGGTTTTGGATGTATGCAAAAAGGATTGTTTAGGTACAAAACTTGTATGATTATTGAAAGAGGGCTTTTCTAGGTAGATGCAAATAATTCTTGTTATGTTTCCTGTTACATGAGCTAGTTGAAAACTTGAACAAACCTGAAGAACTTGTAGGCAAAAAGTACTTAAGCTCTAATATTTACTTGAATCCATGTAGTGCGAACTTGGAGACTGAAAAGATATGTTTTTATAACTAATTGCTACGCAACGAAATAAAATTTATAAACGTTATAGCAAATGGTGAATGGCTCACTCCACGCCAAGTTAGTGTACATGATCCTGAGGAACAGCAAGGATAAATTCGCCAGAAGTTGGAAGACTTAGGAGAGGAGAACAGTGACAACAGGTATTTTGTATTGTGGACGATAACGAAGACGATGTAACTCCAGTTGACTCCGATATAGAAGAAATCGAGTTATCAAAACACGACCCGGAAGATGATGAATAACTTGATTTACCGGGGAAAATATACTGCCAAAGAATGACAAATTTGAGCTGCTCCACCAGCACAAACTGCCAGGTTCCCAACCCAAAACATACTCAGGTCTGCAAATATGGACCAGCATGAGTCGAAGAAAAATAAATCGATTGTGGTCTTTTAAAGAATGCATTAGACAACCGAAGCAAAAATGCCTTAATAAGAAGCCACTCCTGATATTAGATTATAACCAAAGCAAATGTGGCGTTGATAATATAGAAAAATGCCTTGCAGAATATTCAACCAAGCGACCCTGGGAATTTTTGATAATATTCTGAATGTGGCTGTCCTTACTACGTACATAATTTACGTCGAGAATTGCCTACACCTGAAGGGCTCTAAAATCCGACTAGGATGTTCCTTCATCAACTTAGTCAGCAATTGGCGAAACCTGATGGACGTGAGAGCTACTAAATAATAGTCGAATAATCAGAACTAGATTGCCAGTTACTGTCGAAATTCGACAGTTTTTCTAGTTTTAGAAGCC